TGTGGGCCTAGGTATGTAGCCTCTATATAAGGCAGTTTTTTAGAGGAGGATAAACCACATGGAGGGTAAACGCATGGAAAGAAGGTATATATTAAATAAAATAGTATGTTAGATATTTACTTTTTTGTAGTGCAGTCTAAAAAAGATCTATATTTAAATTATATAAAATTGTGGTTTTTGTTATCTGTACAACAAAAATTTTGATTTTAATAATTGTCAAGTTATTATTTAATTTTTTTGTTTGTATTTATATACATTGATTAATTTTTTAACGAAAACATTGAATAACTTTTTTAACGGACTTGTTCCGTTGATTTTTACCGAAAATAGAAACTACGGAAACCGTTAACTTTTACGGAGAAAGTGCTGTCACTTTGCTGCCGGACAATCTCCGTAGATTCTACGACGAATTTTTTAATAGTGTTATATATATTAATGAAAATATCCCTTCAACAAGGTTAAATAAATTAGTTATACCTAATGATGTGCAAATCATCCCTTTTGAAATTATATTAAAAAATCGAAAATGGCTAGTTAGCTATTTATAAGCCTCCATCTCAGATAAATGATTATTTCTTCATTCACTTTAAAGAAGTGCTTGACTTTTATTTGCAACTTTTTAATGATTTTATTATAATAGGTGACTTTAATTTAGAACAGTGTAATAGTTTAATGAATGAATTTTTAGAACTCAAAAATTCAGTAATTTAATACAATCACCAACTTTTTTAAATCGGTTATAAACCCATCTTGTATCAATCGCATCCCTACAAAAAGAAAGTTTTGTTTTCAAAATACTAATGCTGTTTGCACGGGTGTGAGGAATCATCGCCAGTTTGTTTATACTATGTTAAGATCAACTTTTTGCACCCAAAAAACTATTATATAGATCTTTTAAAAACTTTTAAAGCAATATTTTTTCTAAAAAACTTAATAATGATTTAAAATCTTGTCAAGATATTTGTAAATTTAATGAAATATTTAGTAAAATGTTGAATTTACGTGCACCATTAAAGACTAAAATCCTCAGAGGAAATGACAAGCTATTTGTCACTAAACCACTTAGAAAAGTATGTTACGTTCATACTTAAAAAAATAAATATCAGGCTCATAAATCTGAAATTTCTTTCAGATTTATCAGCCTGATATTTATTTTTTTAATTTTCATAAAAATACACCAAACGATATTTCCAAAATTATTGATTCAATAAAAATTAATAAGAAAACAAGCGGCAACATATATGTTAAAGTCTTATGATAAGTTTTTTAGCGAAAGTCTCATAAAATTTATAAATAAAAGCATTTCTGATGGGATATTTCCTTCCGTTTTAAAAATGGCTGATGTCATACCTTGTTTTAAGAAAGATGACCCAACAGATAAGTCAAACTATCGACCAATAAGTATCCTTCCAGGTCTTTCAAAAGTATTTGAGCTTATTATATTTGAGAATACGGGCCTAGATTGAACATTCTGTTATGTGGCTTTCGTAAAGGTTATAGCACTCAGCATGCACTTTTTATTTTACTGAAAAAATAGCAGGAATGTTTGCATAAAGGAAATATTATTGGGTCCATGTTTATGGATCTTTCAAAGCTTACGATTGGAAGCTTATGGCTTTTCTCATGAAAGCCTTAAACTTTTACTATCATATCTAAGCAATCGTAAACAAAGAGTTAAATTGGATTCATCATTTTTTGAATGGTTAGGAGTTTCATTAGGAGTGCCTCAAGGATTAATGCTTGGGCCAACATTCTTTAATATATTTATAAATGACATTTTTTTTTTATTAAAGACTCTGACATTTGCAATTTTGCTGACGATAATACTCTTTATGTTTGTAATAAAAACTTTGAAAGTGTTGTTCTTCGATTGCAAAACGAAACACTAAACGCCATTGAATGGTTTAATTTTAACTACATGATCGTAAATATCAAAATATTTCAATTTCTTATAGTTGGTCAAAAATATTCAAACAGCCAATTTATAATTATTGGCAACGACAAGATTTTTGCTTCAGATAAGTTAAGCTACTTGGGGTTACAATTGATAAGGATTTAAAGTTTGGTGATCACATTAAAACTTTAAGCGGAAAAGCTATTAGTAAGTGCTTTGCCTATTCTCGAATGAGAAGTTAACTATCTTATAAAAAAGCAACTTTATTATTTAACGCTTATATTTTATCAAATTTTTCATACTGTCCTTTGATTTGGATGTTTTTCTCAAAATACATTGACAGCCTTATAAATAAAATTCATAAAAAAGCACTCCACATAGTCCATAAAAGATTTGATTTGTCTTTGGATGAAATGTTAAAATTAGATAATAACCCAAGAATCCATCTTTAAAATTTGCGATTTTTAATGATTGAAGTTTTTAAATCCCTTAATGGCTTAAACCCTGAATTTATGAAGGGCTTATTTATAAAGAAAACTTTACCATTTTGGCTTAACATACATCCCGTTTTGACCAGGATTGTCCCGACTTTTGTCTCAGTATTCCAACGTTTTTAAGTTTTTTCCTGTTTTCTTAAAAAATCTTTTTATCATTTTGTCTCAAACAAAATTCACGATTTTGAAAATCAAATACGAACAATAACTTTTTAGGTCCGCATTTTATCAAGAATTCAAAATCTTATTTTAAATCATCCTAAAGAACGCTGATCGTTGACTTTATGAGTGTGTAAGAAGCTGTTTTTGACTGATCGTTGACTTTATGAGTGTATAAGAAGCTGTTTTTTTTTTTTGTTTGTTTAAAATGCCAAAATAAAGTTGCAAATTTACAAATCAACTTTAAAAAGATTACCTGTTGTGAAAAAAATTAGTGGTGAGGACAACAAAGTGCTGTGTCAGCATAGTTTGCTGAACGAAAATAGATTAAAAGTCATTCAAAGTGTGCCAAATACAAAGTTGGAGTCTCGGCTGCCACATGTTCTTCGTCTATTAAAGAATTTTAAAAAAATGATGGACTTAAGAAGGTGATTTCGATACTGTAACAAAGAAATTGAAGCTCTTGTTGTAAAACTATATAAGTATTTTTATATCTAAACAGTTCGAGTAATTGAGTTAAAGGAATTTTGTGATTTTGTAAATGTGGAATATAGAAGAATAATCCAGTATGGAAGTACAAGATTTCTTTCTCTGCTGCCAGCAGTTGAAAAATTTTTTATATGTTTGAGGCACTGAAGTCATACTTTATTTTCCAAGAAAGCTCTCAACGTGATTGGCAAACCTTTTTTGAAAGTGAAACAGGTGAGTTATATTTCAGATTTGTGCATGAACAGCTAAAAAATTTTAAAAAATGTATTAGTAAGGAAAGAAAAAAAGCTAATGCAGCAGACATTATTTTGGAAAAAATTCCGAAAGTAATTAATTTTTAATTATTTAAGTTTACAAAAAAAATATTTTTGAAAATATCAGATTGCCTCTCCAATGGATTAACCCTTGATCGGATTCTTTCTCAATGACTAATTAAAGTTAAAAAAAAAGTAAAAGAGTTTAAATCAAAATTATTTTCGAGGAAACTATAGTATTTTAAAAGCATAGAATATACTTATAGTTTTTCAAACTTTATACCCCTTGGTCTTGAGCAAGAACTCTAACCACTGCGCCACGGTTGCGTATAACTTCTATCTAAGTAAAACGTATATCTTTATAGTTTAAGATAAATAAATAAAAAACTGTCTTTATAGTTTATTCGTATAACTTCTATATTTATAGTTAAGAATTTTGAAGATTATTGTCATTCTACCCAGCTTTCGTGCTTTGTTTTTTTTTTTTTTTTTTTTTTTTTTTTATTCCATTGATGGTTAGGTATCTTTCTTGTTTTCTAGTTTTCATCTTTTACTTCACTACTTAATTTCTTTATTTACTCTTACTATTTTTAGTTTTGATTTATTTTATAAATAAAATTTTAAATTTTGCTTCAAGTACGTCAAATCTTTCGCTAATAACTTTTATATTATACCACGCACTGTTCTTTTTTTAGAGGTTTTTATTTGAAGTTATTTTTACTTTTAGTTTTTTTAGCCACTCCATTAAATTGATAAGAGACCTTAAAAACAAATTTAATATTTGTTTTACAAACTTTTTAAGTAAAATTCAACATGGTGACATAATGTTCAACATGGTGACATATAATACTAATGTTATTTTTATGTAACAATGAGAAAAACAAAATAATACACAGCGCTGCTAAATTTTGTACTTTCTTAAGTTTGATTTAAACAAAGATAAAAAAGATGAGTAGATGATGGTATCAGGATATTCCATTTTTAAATAATTCTTTTACAAAAAAAAAACCCCTTCGTATATTATTATAAAATTGCCTTAAAATTTAATTCATAGAAAGTTTGTTATTTATTTAAATACTGTCATATAGTATGTTTATATATGTTTACAAACTTTAAACTTCATTTAAAGTTTGTATCATATATAAACATACTATATGACAGTATCTAATCAAACTCTATATTAAAGACAGTATCTAATCAAACTCTATATTAAAGACAGTATCTAATCAAACTCTATATTAAAGACAGTATCTAATCAAACTCTATATTAAAGACAGTATCTAATCAAACTCTATATTAAAGACAGTATCTAATCAAACTCTATATTAAAGACAGTATCTAATCAAACTCTATATTAAAGACAGTATCTAATCAAACTCTATATTAAAGACAGTATCTAATCAAACTCTAAAGAAATAAAGTATATATAATAAATTTATATAAGTATAAGCATATTATATAACAGTATCTAAATAAATAGCAGATTTTATATTTATACATATATTTATACATTTTTATATATATATATATATATATATATATATATATATATATATATATACATATATATATATATATATATATATATATATATATATATATATATATACATATATATATATATATATATATATATATATATATATATATATATATATATATATATATATATATATATATATATATATATATATATATATTAACTTTTCCTATTTTATCTATTATATGTTGCATTTAAACAACCTATGAGTTTAACACGATGTCTATCTGATCTCCACCTTCAAGTTTGTTTTTCGTTTATTTGGATTATATTTTTAATTCTATTTTTTAAGCAAGAAAGACTGAGTATAGCTATAAAACAAATCACTAATGACACTATTCCATAAAGTTGATGATTTTCTAAAACAAAACTCATTGTTATAGGTCCTCCGATCATAGCTATACGTGTAGACGTTGAAAAAATCCCTTGAATAATACCTTGATTTTCGGCTGGAAACATTTTCATAATAAGGCTTTTTGTTGAAACTAGGTTAAACGGTATTGCTATAAAAATAAGTGAGCTTATAACAATAAAAATAATAACTTTTGAGTTAAGTTGCCGAGTAACGCTTTCTAATATAACTAATCCTGTTGATGCGGAAGTTAATATTAAAGCAAGTAATACAAGGTAAAACTCTTGTATAACAATTTTTTTTGATAGAAAGATAGTTACAATAAATACTATCAAAATAATACACCCACCGCCAACGTATACCAAACTTGCTGCTGATGGACTCCAGTTATATTTGAACTCAGTTATGTAAGGTAAAAGCAATTCAAATTGAGTTTGAATCATCCAAAGTAGTAATTCAACAAAAAAAATAACAAAAAACTCAATAGAAAAGACTGCTTTGGTAGTTTTGAACCAATATTCATAAAAAGAGGTTTTTTGGGGATAATCTTTCATTTTCTTTTGGTCATTATTTAATAATAATTCTTGAAAGTGATCTGACAATAAACGGCTTGATGAAGTTAATTCACTTTCGGTCTCTGATTCAAAGCAATTGTTAGAGTTGAACTCTTCAAGTTTCTCCAACGTTTTAGTCGCAGCACTTATTTTCTGAGTATCTTTCTGTAAAGATTTCAAGTTTTCTTCTATTTCTTTTCTAATATTATATACGCAGCAACATGTCAAGAGTTCATTTAATAGCCATATAAATGCCATTACGATTCCTGGAAGGGTAGTTTTATCTAATGTCCAAGCTTTTAATCTAAAGTTTTGTTTTTCAATAACAAAATTTAGTGAAGGCCCTAACATAAAACCAAAAACACGACCTATTTCTAGAAAAGATAGAATTTTCAATCTGGTACTTGAAGTATATAAATAAGTCAATTCTCCTGAGACACATGAATTAGAACCATCACCTAACCCACTAATGAATCTTCCTACAAGTGGAAACCATATAGAAAAGTTGAACCCATATAATAAATTTCCAACCATCTGAAATAAGTTCAAAACAATCAAAAGTTCTTTAATTCTTTTTGTTTTATCATAAATGTATCCAAATATCGGTAATGAAATAATAGCACCAAATGGGTACAAAGAAACAACCAATCCCATAAAAACACTGTTAACATTAAATCTTTTCATGTAAAGAAGTGCTGTAGGCAATATAATAGAATACTCTACTCCAGAGATGAATGTCCTAAAAAACAGCATTCCGATAAAAAAAAAATTTTTCATTTCAAACATTTCTTCTTTTTTATATAAAAATTGGTACTTGTTGTTTTATTTTTTCCCCATGTTTTTTTACTATTTTTTTCATTTTTTTTTTTTTTTTGCGTGTATAATATAATTGAAATAGTCAATCATACAAATTTTGATTTTGAAGAATTTTTAAAACAATTAAAATTACGTTTTTATATTATGAAGTACCAAAGCTCCTTCGTAGGTTTTATATCGAAGGTTTTACATTAAAGCTTCTTTGTAGGTTTTATATAAGCTTCCTCAATAAGAAAATAAAATATTGTTGATACTGTTTTTTATTTTGTTGCTAGGTTACTGTTGATAAAAAAACTCAATACAATATTGAAAACTGTAATAGGTCTATTCAAAACTGTCAAAATGTATTTTCTTCCTTTAATATAACCTACATAATTTTCTTTTAATATTATAAGCATTGCGTGGGGGTGGGGGTGGTGGTGGATTCAAATTTCATCAAAGTTGTCTATAGATCATTTTAGAGGAAAATTATGTAGATTATATTCAGGGCCGATGATCCGGGTTTCGAAGTGGAGGGGCAAAATATTCAAATTTTAAAAAAAGTTCTCTATATCTAGAATTTTCTTAAAGAAAAAAAAAAAGGTCCTTTAGAAAAAAGTGGGGGAAGGGGGGGAGGAGGCACTTTTTTGATCTATAGACAACTTTGATGAAATTCGACAACTTTGGTTTTCCAAAAAAACCCATCATATTTAACTCAATTTTTGAAAAATAAATCATTTACAAGCAACACGCTTTTCAGTAAACAACTACATTCAACCTAAAATCTACTATTGAGCTACTAAGTTTTCAATTGCAAATAGAAGTCCTAAACTATGGAACACACTTTTGAATAATGAGTTAAAACCTATTTTTTGTTTTACTCTTTAAAAATAGGATTGATAAATGATAAAGAATTATACTTTTTCTAAAGCTTTTGGTTAGGAGTAATCATTTTTGTTTTATTCAATGTATTTGGTTATTTATCTTTTATTCTTTTTTTTTATTTAATTAAAACAAATTAAAAAAAAAATTAAAAGAAATCTTTTTTTCAATTTAGTAAAAAAAAAAGTAAAAAAAAAGTGGATAATATTAAAATTCTTTTATATTTGTAATTGTATTAGAGTCAGGGTTGGCAAAAACCCGGGTTTTTGACCAAAAACCCAACCCAGCTGGGTTTTTGGGTGGGTTTTTGGGTGGGTTTTTGCTAAAGTTTGGTATAAATCTTTAGTAATCAAAGTTTGATTAATTTATAGTTTATAATATAATAAAGCTATTTTTCATTTTTTACAGGTATATTTTCTTATACAAAAGCTTTATTAATAATCAGATTGCATTTTTTTATAAAATAAATCTATTTTTAAATAGAGTTATCTTTTTAGTTAAATTTAAAATATAAGTAGATTATACGTCTTCAACATGCCAAAGTATCATTCAGGGGGAAGAAATAAGGCTAGTGAGTGGAATGAAGTGACCATATTAAGTGATCAACCAAATAGAGTAATATGTAATTATTGCAAAGTGAGCAGAATTAAAAAAATAGAAAGAGTTAAGATCCGTTTGGATAAATGCAGAAGAAAGAATAAACGAAGCAATAATAATTCCGCTGAAGTGTTAAGTGATATATCAGTTTTAGAGTCAAGGCCATCTACATCTGCAGCATCAAATAAGTCTAGCCTGTCTGATGATAATGAGCAAGATGGTTTAAGCTGGTTTGGTATGGTTTTATGAACAAAAAAATTAAAAATTAAAAATTTAAGACCAAAAACCCATAAAGTTGGGTTTTTGGTGGGTTTTTGGTCTTGGGTTTTTGGGTGGGTTTTTGGGTGGGTTTTTGGGTTTGGGTTTTTGGGTACCAACCCTGATTAGAGTTGTTAGCCGGAAAATTTCTTACAATTGGAAAAATAAAATTCTTTCGGAAGTATATTGAGAATCAGGAATTTTTTTTTTTTCGTACCGAATTTTACGAAACAAAAAAAACCCGCCGATGTTCATTTCGAAAATCGCGACGTTAGAATTATCTTGTTCTATCTCCACATTTTTTAGTTTTGAGATAAAACGATTTAAAAAACGAAAATTTTAGGAGACGGCGTATAAATTTTTTTTTTTAATCTTTTCATAATGTTTTATAAATGTTTTTTCGGCAACTTTTTTACTTATAACTTAGATTTAAATTCAGTAGAAAGACATTATTTTGAGGAACACAACACTATAATTAACTCAATTTTTTCAGAAAGTGGAGATAGAACAAGATAATTCTAACGTCGCGAAATGTTACTTACAAAATGTAGCCTTTCGCAAGTTGAATTACGAAATAAAACTATTTTGCTACATACGAAAGTAGCGCTAACGGAAGTCGCACTTGCGAAACAAGCTTTTTCGCTAAACGACGTTTTGAAGTCTGTAAAGAAAGTTTGTTAGCCAAACGGATATAATTTCAAAAATAAAAATTTTATATACGAAAATGTTTATAATAAATTTTTATTTTCAGCATTGCAACATAATAACATTTTAAGGTTTTATTTTTTGAAATAATGATAAAAAACTATTTCGCACCGCAATTTGTGAAACACTTCTTAGCAAAAAAATACTTATGAAACGTGGCCTTATAAATATATTAAATTACGTTTTATGAACCAAATACATATAATAGACCTCCTCACAGTTCCGATAATTTAGTGCGCGCGCACATTTAACAGTACATCAATGTTCCTTGTGCGCAGAATCGCATAAAAGAAGTAAATACACAAATATATTATGAAAGCTTTCTTGAAAGAAACAGTTGTTTACATGAGATTTCTTTACTTTTATTTATAATAAAAATATTGATTTTGAATTATTTAACTTTATTTTAACTATTTTAGGATAAATTTATACTATATATATTTATACTTTTTATATGTTTATTTTATAGGATATATATGAAAGAAATAAAAGCTCTTAAAGAGTACTCTTTATCTTTTGCATTTCACACATTTCGAGTGTGAAATGTGCATTGATAGTTGTGTTTGTGTGTGTGTATATATATAATATATATATATATATATATATATATATATATATATATATATATATATATATATATATATATATATATATATATATATATATATATATATATATATATATATATATATATATATATATATATATATATATATATATATATATATAATATATATACATATATATGTGTGTATATTACAATTTAACAATCTTCTTTCCCAAAATTTATTAATCAATATTAAATACTATTAAGAGCTTTTACACTCAACGTACAAATTTGTTTGTTTTTTCTTGATTACAAATATTATATAACAAAAACATATAAACAATATAGATTTTAAACTTAAAATGGGTAAAATAAACTTATATTAAGCTAAATCAATGACTTTTTTTTAAAAAAAAAAAAAAATCATATATATATACAACTGTTTCTTTTAAGGTTTCTATCTTAATTTATATGTGTATTTACTTGTTTTCATGCGATTCTGCGCAAAAAGTACCACGACGTAATACTAAATATGCGCGCGCAGGAAATTATCGGAACCCTGAAGACGCCTATCAACTTCGTAATTAAAATACTAATTATTATATGATATTGAAAAGTTTCAATTGTAAACTTTTATAAACCAAGACTTTCATAAAATAAACTTTAAATTTCTTTTAATAAATAAAAATTAAATAATGAAGATAAGTTGAACAACGTTATAACGTTGTTATAAAAATTAAATAATGAAGATAAGTTGAAAAACTTTATAAGTTATCTTCATTATTTAATTCTTATTCATTAAACGAAATTTAAAGATTATTTTATGAAAGTCTTGGTTTATAAAAGTTTACAATTGAAACTTGATTTCAATAAAGGCATTGTTTCCCGATTACGTAGTTGCATTCGTATGTTAACGTTAACATACGAATGCAATTACGTAATCGGGAAACAATGCCTTTATTGAAATCAAAAAAAAATCTACTTTAAGTAATGAATGCTGAATCACTTTTTTTATTTTTGAGGTGCTTTGTTATAAAAGCTTTCGATTTTATTATCTTGATAACAACAAGTAAATTAAAAAAATTTTTTATACATACTTTTCAAAGATTTTTTATAAAATGTTTTCCTTTATTGAAAAAAAAAACTTTAGGATGGGAAGGTGGGAAGGGCACTTGTTCCTCCTTGTATCTTTGGCATTGAAAAATGTTTTAATATGCAACAACGCAACCAATAACGTTGCGATGTTGCATATTAAAACATATAAAACTATACAACTGCAGAAAGTTTTAAAGCTCTACCTTTTTTGGAGGTACCCTGTGTGGTTAAGGCGATTTGTATACTATTCGAATTCTTTTATTTGAAACTAGCTTGATTTATTGAAAATAGCTTGATATTGAAAAGTTTCAATTGTAAACTTTTATTTTGTCAGTGTATGATGTCCAAACAAGAGCTTTAGATGTTATAATACTTTTTGCTTCAATTTTGTATAATGTTTAAAGAAACTTTTCTCTTTTTTTATAATTTTAAAAACTTTTTATTATTCCTAATTGTGAATCTAAAGAACATTATTTTTGAGTCTTTAGATCACTTTCGCTTTCGCTTTAGATACAAAAAGTTAACAGCGTTAACTTAATTTTAAATAAAGTTCTGTTGATTCTCTCAACAGCATTAACTTAATTTTAAATAAAATTCTTAGAAAAAAATGCCTTAATCTTCTATAGATTCTAGCTATAATCTGTTCTAGTATATTAATTGTCAAAACACAAAATTTCCATCAATTTTCATTAAAAGTATTAGAATTCCGACCAAAAAATTCCGACCAAAAAAAGAATTCCGACCAAAAAAATAGCTTAAAATTTACTGATAAACAATTAGAATAGATCATATTATTAAACTATGATGTTCACTTATATAAAAAACCTATTTATTTAAAATCATTTTATTTATTATTAAACGTACTTATTTAAAAGATTTTAAATAAATACCCCCTAAGAAGAGCACCACGGAAGAGCATTTATTAGGAATTTCACGCCTCGTTCCCAACCGATGTTGTAAAACTTGCC